CATTTGTCATGAGTAGGAGTTTTTCGTAGTTTTTTGTTTATAATTGTTATAATAAACTCTGTTTTTTTCTCCTCAAAGATCGAATCCAAACGAAGTCATATCATGTCTTATGAACGATTCCTGTGCCTGCTTGTTGTTGCTTCATTCATTGCAACATCAGCAGCGTTTCCAAGGGATGCTCCAAGGATGGATGGTAAATTAAAAATGTTTTGGTTGAGATAATTGTTGTGCCTTCAAAATAAACAAATAGTTAATAAATAAATCGCATTTAGCATGCAGTGGCATTTTCACAGAATGGCTCCTCGTCTACGAATATTGTAATTTAACTTTATTATATAATTACCAATGAAATATCTATTTTTCTCTATTTCGAAAAATTGATATCTTCACACGTGAAAATAACACCATTGCGATGACTATTCAAAAATACACGGAAAGAATTGCCTGAGAAAGCCAAAACATACTTCATTGATAATTATATAATAAACAGAATATTACATGGGTGTGCGGAGATACGAAATTTATCTTCTCGTGTTGAAAATCTCTCACTCGTTCGCTGCGCTCACCTGTGAGAGATCTTTTCAACACTCGAAGATAAATTTCGTATCTCCGCACACCCATGTAATATCCTCTATATATAATTCTATCAATCATTTTTTGTTTTGCTTTGCAATTGTTTTTGTTTTCAAATTTCATGGAATTGTTTTTGTTTTGTCTAGATGAGAGCTTGATCCAACCAAGAGGGGCACCCTGCTCCTGTCGTGGAAAGTCTGGTATATACTGGTTTTCTGGCAAATGTCCCCCGGGATACGGCTACACCACATATTGTAGCTACCTTATTGGACTTTGCTGTGTAAAATAATTGTTACCTTTGCCGGGCTTAATCTCTATTCAGTAGCCTGAAAATGTCCCGAGATATTAACTGTCAATCAACGTAAAGTTAAAGTTGGTGAAAGCCATGTAATATTAACGTTTAACTCGTACAATTAAAACCATGTTATGCTCTGAAAATTGGTACATGATTGCTACTGTAATATACTTTGTCAGTGCATGGAGGATCGATTTTCGTCGGCTGAACGTTTTCTTTTTCCAATATATAGACCTTTTTAGATTGGGCGCAATGTTTTCCTATTTCAGACCCCTTGTCATTCCATTCATGTCAGACCTTTTTTTACTCTTGGGAGGCGCAATGTTTTCGCACTACAGACCTCGTATCGACATTCTTTGGTTAAAGATTGAGCATGAGAAGACGTACGATATGGATTCAACCCGTCAATTAGAATTCGGGATTCATTTAGATCCGAGTTGTGAGTCTTGGTTTGAAAAACGAAAATGTGTAGAAACATATTCTGTCACACAAGTTTATTACATAAATATTTTGCCGCGCTTTTGCTGAAGTATGAAAATTTATAGAGATCAAATCTATTTCGCTGACGTTCTACTCTCTATCCCACGTCCTTCGTTGTTTGGCTGCCGCCATCTTTAAACAGGATTAAAGGAGGGTTAATTCATTATACCCTTGTTGGTGCGATGTATAATAACTTTTACGACCTTAATTTTCTATAAAACTGTTTGCTAAAAATCTTGGAACAATAAACTTGTCCGTCCAAGATTTCATATTCCTCTTTTGCGCTTTCTTTACTGAAACCAAAGCTGTTGAGGAAACGGAAAAGGCATCAAGGTCATTAGACCTTCTAGGAAAACAAGAAAAGCTAGCTATGGACCTGTTAGAAAAGCAGCACAATGGGTAACACAATGACAAGTTAAGATAATCTCCTTAATCCACAGAATTCGAAGTAGAAATTGAGACCCTCGGAAATACGATTTCCTTTGTTTTGAGGGGCATTTGCAACATTTTAAATGCATTATATAAAGTTATGACAAATCTGTATATTCAGGATGTGAAAGAGGTGAGAAAGACAATCCTGATTTAACATAATAAGCCTTTTCATAGTTTAAGAATCGATTCCACTGCGCATGCGATTTTATCCC